AAAAAAAAAAAAAAAAAAATTAAGAGTAATTTTTTGATTGACAACTCTAACGGAAAATCAGATTACTTAAGGATTAGGTGTGTTTCTTTCCACTTTCTTAAATTTTCCTTACTATTTAAAACTTTCAAGCAATAAACTTCATGAAGTAAACTTCTCTGATGTGCAGAAAGGCGGATTATTTCAATGTCATTACTTCAGCTCGTTTTTGATTTAGTCCATTAATTTTGATAACACAGAAAGAGCTCACGAGGACAGGTCTGCTCTCTGCAAGGCAAGCGGAGGCCTCCAGAGGCAGAGGACGGCCGCAGGAGGCTTCTCCAGCGGGCTCGGCTTCTCCAGCGGGCTCGGCTTCTCCAGCGGCCTCGGCTTCTCCAGCGGCCTCGGCTTCTCCAGCGGCCTCGGCTTCTCCAGCGGCCTCAGCTTCTCCAGTGCTATGTTTTGATTTTGGGGGAAGGGGCGCATATTTACTGACTATTGACCTGAAAGTACACAGGGGATTTTTCTACCTTACATAATAATATTTTAAAATATTCTGGTGCACACTTTAAGTGATAAGTTAATAAATGTTAATCCCTTAATTACTATCAGTATTTCAAAGCTTACTCATCGATTACTTCATTTCACTGATTTTCACTGTTTTCCCAGGTAGGCCAGTGAACTGCTCTACGTTTTAAAATCTTCTGCTCCTGCTAGCAAGCTAGCAAGACACTAACGAGGGGTGAACACTAATATTGTCATGGTTTTAATTATGTTTTTTGAAGAGCTTAAGGATTTAATAAGTCATAATTACTTAAAATTTCTAATTAATGTGTTTCAGCTCTTCAGCAAGCTGATCTACTTTTAATCATATAATGTGTTACAAATCACAGACAAAATTATATCTTAAACAACATTAAGCAGCTGGATTTGACTGGCAAAATCAAAGAATTCCCAAACTCGAGAACTGTGTACTTATCTTAGGAAAAAGAACAGTACTTATGGGAATAGGTTCTAGTTTATTTTTACCCTTGGAGTCGCAACTGCTCTCCAGAACCGGGTACAGAGGCTACCACCATTCACGAACAGAAAGCACTAAGTCACTGTAGATACAGAGGATGACTATCTTGTGAAGAAGACACCCTCCCAGACACAGACAGCCATGAGTCACAGTCTCCCAGGTCGAGCCAAGGGGAAGGTGGAGGCAGACCGACAGCATTCAGCCCCCATCACACGACCAGTGGCTGCAGGGCACCTGGCTAGAGCTTCGCTGGAGCCACATCTGTGACCCACCCTGCCAAACCCTGTGTCCCCAGGAGCTCCAGGAAGACCAGTCCTGGCTGCATTTCCTCCTGCTCAAGACTCTGACATGAGCTGCTTCCTCACAGGGTCTAAAGGCCGCAGAACAGGTGGTCCACGGGCACTGTCCCTCACTACTGTGCGTGGCAAGTGAGGGTCCCGCTGGAGCCTCTGCTCTGTGGCTCACAGCAGCTGCCATGGCTCTCTGGGAACACACATACTCATGTAGGACTCGGGGGCCACCCCTGCACACCAGTCTGCCCCACGTCCAACCTGGATCCCACCGGCTCTGGGGTCCAGCGCACCCTCGCCTGCAGACCCCTCCACACAGAGCAGTCGTGGAGCCTGGTCTAACTCCACCCTCCACTCAAGCCCACTGTGATGGCCCATTTCTTCGAAGTAAGACCTCAAACCGAGGCACAGCCACTGGCCTGGACGACCCCCCTCCTACCCTATTCTGCCATGCCGTGCTTTGTGGCACTGGCCTCCCCTCCCTGCCAGAGGAGGGGGAGGGCTGCAGCATGTGTCGAAAGGCAGGAGTGACGGCATCAGCGGGTGAAAGACCCTGCAGGAAAGGCCGGGCTGCAGGAGGGCTAAGGGAGGCGGCAGGTAGCAGTTCAGCGGCGGGGCAGCAAAGTGTAGATCCCCGGGATCACGGCGGCAGAAGGTGGCAGGACAGCACAGGCTTAGCTTGGGGTTTCCAGTTTTCCGAAATGAGAAGAATTTCTTATTGTCTACCAACAATCAATAAGGACCACACAGGGGCCCTCAGGAACAAAGTAGCTGATTTTAATTGATCAGAGGCATTTCTTCTCTTTTTCTTTTTTGGAGGCTGGCTAGTACGGGGATCCAAACCCTTGACCTTGGGGTTATCAGCGCCACGCTCTAACCAAGTGAGCTAATCATCAGAGGCATTTCTGACCTTCAGGCAGCTCCACACAAAGGATTCAGACATGGAAAACCCACGTATTGCAAAACCCACGTGGACCACTGGCCACAGACACTGGCCGTCGGCACTCTCTGTGGTACCTAATACCCCAGTTACATGCATTTGGAACATTCAGCCATCACACCTCTTAGCTGGTCTTAAAAATACTATTTAATTCTCAATTCTGATGTAAAAATCCAATAAAGAGAAAAAGCCAAGCAGCAAAAGAATAGGCACTTATATATTTTAAACAATTTTTTAAAAAAATCTAGAAACATAAACATCCAACTTACTTGTGAGATCCAATCCCAGAAGGAAGCGCCTTAATTCTATTATGCCGAAGGTCTAGCCAAGTAAGGTTTGGCAGCAACTGAAAGAAATCTTTAGGAATCGTGCAGAGGGCGTTCCTTTGAAGATGCAGTTGCTTCCACGGAAAAGGAGAGAGAACCAGAGTGGCTCGTTAGCCAACTAACACTTAAAATGTGACATAACCAAAAAGCATGTCCAGAAGAACCACCACAACCATGCATATCAAGTTTTAAAAACACACCGTAAGGGCCAGCCCGGTGGAGCACTGGAGAGTGCACTGCTTGGGAGTGGGGCGGCGCTCCCGCCGAGGGTTCGGATCCCAGGTGGAGACCGGTTCCCGCTCGCTGGCTGAGCGCGGTGCGGGCGCAATACCGAGGGTTGCGATCCCGTTACCAGTCAGTAAAAAAGACAAAAAGGAAAAAAAAAAACACACCGTAATATTTTATCCATAAGGAATTTAGAGTTGTAGGCAAGAAAATCAGACAGCAAAGAGGCAGGACCCCTGCAGGCGGTCTTCAGAGCCGGACTGACAATATCTCAAGTGGCCCCTGCGCTACCACTGAGCACGTTGCTTTTTCTATCTATATCTTTTGACACCAAACTTAATCCCAAGGCTTTGTAAAATCATTTTTCTCCTTCCTGGGCCCTGTATTTAGTGTCACGCTCTTTCTCCAGCACCCACTGCAGCACCTGGTTCTCGGAAGCCCCAGCAACTGCCTGCTCAATGAGCAAAGACGTAGGGCCACATCTGGCCCTAAGGATTCATCCTAGGTCAATAATTAACAGGAAACTAAAAGAGGCACTAAGATATTTGCTGTCCCATTATCTATGTTAAGCAGCCAGGCAAAAATAACCTCGGTAACCATCATCTCGGGAACATTGTGATACATCAACTCAGTGGAATTTTTAAGTCATCATCGCAAATAAGATAAGGGAAGGTAGAAGACAAAATGTATACACACTGACATTGACCATGTTTTTATTTATATATATATATATAATTTTACTGTCAGTGTGGCAGGATTATAGCTAATTTTTAAAACACCATCATTAATGCTGTTGCTATAGGTTGTACATATTTACATTATTATATATATTTATGTCTATACCTGTATTTACCAAGGTGGTAGAAACAGTTCAGGGCACTGATCTTGAAGCTAGACTGCCCTGTTCAAGTGTAGATTTCGAAACTTATTAGCTGTGTGACCTTGAACAAGTTCCGGGACCTCTCTGTGCTCCAAAGTCCTCACCTGTAAGATGGGGATGATGGGACCTACCTCGCAGGAGCACTAAACAAGCAGTACGTGGCACACAGAAAGTGCCATGTCACTGTCAGCTGTTAGGATCATTCTGCTTTTTCTACTGAAAAACAACCCAAGCATAACAAAGTGTCGTCATGCAGCTTCCTTTTTTTTTTTTTCCTTTTTGTGACTGGTAAGGGGATCGCAACCCTTCCTTTTTGTGACTGGTAAGGAGATCGCAACCCTTGGCTTGGTGTCGTCCGCACCGCGCTCAGCCAGTGAGCACACCGGCCATCCCTATATAGGATCCGAACCCACGGCGGGAGCGCCACTGCGCTCCCAGCGCCGCACTCTCCTGAGTGCGCCACGGGGTCGGCCCTACAGCTACTTTTCTATCACAGTTTCACAACCCCCCCCAATTTTACCCCAAATCCACATCTTTCATAGATTCCTAGCTGAGAAACACTGACTAGAAAAGTCACATGGTTAATAATGTAATGGAAACAATATCTGACATCAGTCAAGAACTCGCCAGAGTCATGCCTGCTGGCCCCTGGCATGGCCTCCGGAAAGCAGACTGCCAGTTACAGGTGCAGCATGTGCCTCCACATGTACACGCATGTACACGCCTCCATGTGACCCTTCCCAGCCCTCTGCTGGAGTAGAGGTTTTGAGCTTCTCAGGCCTCCTCCTTTCCTCTCAGAGCAAGCAAATTCTAGTGCTCAGCTTTCAAGCCGCTGATCCTCCTAAGAGCCAGCCAAAGGAATCTCAGGAAAGTAAGATGACACTTCCTTCTTCCCCAGCGCCTCTGGAAGCAGGCACATTCTGCATCAAAAAGCTTGTTGGGGGCCGGCCCGGTGGCGCACTGCTATAGTGCACCGCTTGGGAAGTGCGGC